GTAAATGGGTGAATGAAATGTTGTTCATAGAAATAACTGTGATTGGTTGGGTAATCATTTGTTATTTTGAACAACTAATATCTCAAAAAACTGTATTATCGGCAGACGTTTAGAGATTGAAACACTATTGATGATGTAAACAGCATGAACAAAAACTTGTATATGTAATGACGAAATTGCCATAATTACTGCTTATACTGCCGTCTTTTATGTAGCGTATATTTCAAAATCAATGTACTATGTAAGTAACTCCAATACAGTCTAACTGTAATGTCACATTTCACAGTTACGGTGACAAGAGTTATGGAGAAAACATTACAAAACAAGGTGGATGATACGTGACGTCCATAACCTGGGATGGGTAGGAGCGAGTATTTCATTAACTTTGTTGAATGTGGATTTGTATGTAATAGCACAAAGCTGAATACGTATCGACATACATTACCAAATGAATCACTGTTTAGAGACACTTTTATAATAATGTATTAATTCTTACTCACCACAACAGTCTAGTCGGTTGTAGATTCTTACTTTTTGAATGCAATGTGGAAATGCCAGGTCAACACGCCACCATGGAAACATGTCTCCAAAACCAGCATGTGAGCAAGTATCACTATAATAAATCGGGTTGGTGTTCCCATCAACGGCTCTTGGAGCAAGTCCACCGTGACTGGTACTACTTTGCCGCACGAGCCTTCCAATAGCCACATTTTCTATAAAACCACCTTAGATCAACATGATAAGAATGTTATCAATTATTCGTCACACTATCATTTTGTTTGTAGTTTTTTTTTGCTTGTCAATATGTCTATTTGAGTTCACACTTAATAATTATTGAAAACTCAAATTATTTTGTGTTGTGACACATAAATTATAGCGCGGTGGTTGTCGCGCAGCGCGTGTTCGAATTTCATGTAAATAAACAATGTATTTTACACGCGTTATATACGTCGCTATGAGTCCCATATCGAACAGAACGCGGCGTGACGACCACCGCCCTTTAATGAAATCATACCACTATTACAATCACACGTATAACTGCTGTCTTCGTGTTGGTTGCAAGTGGCTCCATGGCATAGATCAGACTCGTTGCACCGACGTTCAACTAAAAATAATAAAATAAAATATAGTATTTGATGAAATATTTGTCATTCAAAATAATATTGCAGTTGAATGCAACACATGAGTTGCTGAACGAGAACGAAAACATATAATTTAGGCTTGTTAATCCACTACAAAAACAATTATAATCTACATATAAGTTTAGTCTCAAATCTC